AAAAAAAAAAAAAGACATCTACTGGGCATTTCCAGTCACCTTTTATTCACAGCAGAAGTTATAAGGAAGGGGGAAAAAAAAGCAACATCCTGGCTGAGCCTGGACTAAGCAGCAAGGCGCAGGCTGCAGTCCCCAAATCGTCTTAGCCAAACGCGGAAAGCCAAGGGACTGTAAACTGCGAATAACCTCTTCACCTTGCTGCAGCTGGCCTTGGGGACAAAAAAGGAGAGAAACAAATATCCAAGGAGCGTTGAAACAACACCATGAAGGCAGGGTCTCATTGGGGGGGATGGGGGGGCTTCCCCTGCAGCCTTTGTGCAGGAGCAGGAGCGGGTTTGGGCAGCGGGCGTGGGGCTGTCCCGCTGGGGAAGGGGAAGCTGCTGTGTGTCCAGGGGTGTGACGGGGAGAGGCAGAAGCTGGCCAGCAGCTCAGGCAGGTGCAAATCAGAGTACTAATTGCTAATTACCCAGCTGCTTTTCTTCCCGAGAGCTTTGGAAGGCATCTTTTTTGTGAGTTAGTTTTTATAGGAGTTGCTGGCTGAGCCACTGGGGTACATCCCAGCAAAAAGAAGGATTCTCTGGGGTTTTTTTCACAAGTGTTTTTTTCCAACATGGAAACTGAACATTTAGATTCAGATTCAGGTGCTTGATCAAAAGCTCATGGAAGACAACTGAAAGATTTAATTCCCCCATCCGGGTTACATGAAGGTAAAGTCTTTTTTACCTCTGAATTAAAACAGTTTCACTCAAGTTTGATTTTGACCTTTTATGAGGTCTTCTCGCCTTCCTCCTGGAGCATACGATGGATGACCTTTGCCTAACGAGCTCTCGCTAGAGAGTTGCAAACTGGTGTTACTCCACTAAATGCTGCAGAGCAGAGCTTGTAAATGCTGCAAATATTTTAGAATTTTTTCTTATTTTTCCAGTCAAAGAGAAGACCCTGGGAACTGTAGCAAAGGTCTTTATTATTGATAAAAACTTGTTTCCCTAAAACTTAAATCTAAAGTTAGCTTTGTCTGAAAATATTCCTTTGAAGATTAATAGAAGGTAACAAAGACAATAATGGAAATTATTTATGAAAAGTGAGACTGATGATAGTAGATTAGCTCTGTCTTGTGTATTCTTTAGACCAAGGTATTGCCCCTCCTTCCCCCAGGTCGTCTATGTAACAGCGTCTTTGCCGTACTGCGTCCTCATCGTATACCTCATCAGAGGGTTAACGCTCCACGGAGCTGTGAACGGGCTCGTCTACATGTTCACACCAAAGGTAGAGAAAAACCATACTGAGTTTTTCGTGAAATGTTAGTTACCGAACGCGTAGGTTTTTAAAAGGCGACGATGCTCCTTTTCCTTACACTGAATTTTTGCAGCAGCAGCTTAGGTCAGGCAGCTGGAAACCCCAGCTGGGAGCAGCTGGAGGCTGTTCTACCGTGGTGCCCGTAAGCTGCTTGCTTTCTCCTGCAGAAGACCACCCGCCCATCAAGATAACCTGTAGCATATTGCTTTTAGACTGAGCAGTAACCCTGCCCAAAAGCCACCTCTGGGCTCCAACGGGTGCAGGCAGGGGCCCACCCCATCCCTGCAGGCTGAAAGGGGCCGTGCCCGGCGGCTGTGCGCAGCTTCACGCTCCCGCTCTCCCTGCCTGGTTTTGCAGCTGGAGCAGCTGTCGAACCCCAAGGCGTGGATCAGCGCCGCCACGCAGATCTTCTTCTCGCTGGGCCTCGGCTTTGGCAGCCTCATCGCGTTTGCCAGCTACAACAAGCCCAGCAACAACTGCGAGCGGCACGCCATCATCGTCTCGCTGATCAACAGCACCACGTCCGTCTTTGCCAGCATTGTGACTTTCTCCATCTACGGCTTCAAGGCGACATTTAACTACGAGAGCTGCATCAACAAGTAAGAGCCCGGTATCGCACTCTTTCTCCACCGCAAGCCGTTCTGGGGACGGTAAGAGGGGCAGTAAATAAATAACAGCCCGCAGCGCTGCCCCGACACCAGCTCTGATACTGCTCTGAGGCAGCTAATGGCGCTGCATTTAAAGCAATGAGGGCTGAGATGAAAGGTCAGAGCTGGCTTGCCTTTTGACACCCCGGTGCTGTTTCCAGGCACGGGCCAGGTCCGGAGGACGAGTTTGCCTGCGCCGGTCACAGCAACACTTTCCCCTGTGACCT